TGGTGTAGTAAAAGAATTAGGGAGAGACCAGATGGAAAATTGGGAAGGAGAAAAAAAACAGGGAAAGGTTTAGATAGCCGTGATGAATGTAAAGATAATCCTGTAGGCAAAACTGGAAATGAACACAGTGTACTCTGGAAACCCTAACTGGTAAGTAGCCATAACAAGCAGAATGCAAACTTCTTTCATTCATTTCTCTATATTCCCAGACATTTCCCCACTGGTTCTTTTCCAGTGTTTTATATTTGAATGTACCGTGCCTTTAGACTTTCCTTGGGTAGTGCTGAGGTAAGTCCTGTACTGTGTACTAACATTGATATGGAAACTTGATATAAATTACACAGAAAATCAGCATTTTTGTTTTGATGATCTGTAGCTGTGCATGTACATTTGCATTCAATCAGGTAGAACTGTCTTAGAGCTTTCAGTCTTATTCTCCTTCTGATTATTCATAGATAGTTATTGGAGTCAGAATTAACAAGGATGCTCCTTGGATGGAACATTCTTTTTTCAAGTGGAACCTTGAAGTATGTGTTATGATGGAAAGATGGGAAATGGATTTCCTTAGAGTTAGGAGGAAGGGTAAAGAGAATATGTTGTGTAAATACATTTGTATCTTGTGGGAATTTGATCAGAGCCAAGAAAATATGGGCCTCTACAGTATTTCTTTGCATATATTTTCTGCATCTTGTTTGCATATGCATTTTTCTCTTTGGTTATTTATCTGTACATCCAGACCTACTATATGAAATTTTATAGAGTATGGAGCTGTCTGACAGCAAAGCTTTTTTTGTTTTACTGAATGTTTTGTTGGTACATATGGTCTGACATGGATGAGCAGCCACAGCGAGATTTTGGAGTCTATTAAACTGGCTCATTAAAAAGATCAATCTGTTTCTGTAATAACACTGGGAACCATCAGTCACTAAAAGAGGGAAAAACTGACACCTGAGGAGAAAACACATTTTAGTAATTTGTTCATGACATGTCATGAACAAAAGAGTGCCCTATATTTTTGTTTACAACTTTGGGAGCTTAAATCTGTGATGATTGCTAATTTAATCTACTGAACAGTCATCATGTGTTTCAGGGATGTATTTTGGCAAATTTAACTTCTCATCCTTAAATATGATCGTCACTGGTTATGTTTTTTTTTTTTTTTTTTTTTTTTTTTACGCATTATTATTATTTACACAGAAATGAATACTCTGGGGAAGCCTATGAAATCATTTTTTTTTCCCTCTGTATGGAATAGGGAAATATATTTTACTTGCTTTTAAAAATAACTCTGTGGTGAGTCCCTGAACAACTGTACTGGATTTGTAGGTCTGTGCTAGAGTATCTTAGAACTCAAATTAGAAAAAGACAATTTTCATTTAAAAGTCGTACTATTTTTTTTTCTAAAATATCGAGGAAAGTAAATACAAGATTTTGATTTCTACTTTGTTAATATGTAAAAGTTTATTATTTATAGTAGAGCTTTACAGACCTCTAAATGAGAAGCTGAAGAAGGGGATATGAACCTTTTTCGGAACCTGTTAAATGAAATGACCACTTTCAAAGATAAAGACTAGAAGTTAAGCGCACTCTTTAAAACTAACCATGATGGTTTGTGAAGACACTTTCGTATGGAGTGAGGAAGGAAAGAGCAATTAATAAAAATTAATGTTTTAAAAAATACTTGCATTATGTTAATTATCATTGTTGTTATTGTGTTTTCACAGCTTTGATTTGCAGCTTTTTGTTATAATGGGTCTTTACTATTGTGTTCTGACCTGTAATGCTAATTTTCTGACTCAGAATTTTTTTTGCTTAAGATGTCAAACTGAATGATCAGTGGCTTTTTTAAGGGTAACACCGCCTCCCCATTCCACACACACTATTTCAAATAGTTGATGTTAAGTATTAATTCTATATATATATGTATCATCATTTTAATGTAATTATTCTTAAATTACTCACAATTTCACACATGTAGACTTTATTATAAAGGCCATGTAGTTGCAATAATATGTATTTCCTCCGATAATTAAACATTATTTTTAAAAAAGTTTAAAAATATACAACATCCAATTGTGTACAGTATGTAATACTTGATAATGATAATAAATCACTGTTATTGGTTTAAAAAAATAAAAATAAAATGTGCTATCAAAATAATAAAAAATAAAAATGAAAAAGACTTGCTTGAACTTTAGAATACATAATTTGTTGGCTGGGAGGGATCTTATGGATCCAACAGGCCAACCCCTTTTCTTTATGCTTGAGGGAAAACTAAGGCCCAAAGAATTTGCCTAAAGTCACAAAGTTTCTTAGTGGAGAAACCAGCATATCTGCATACTTGA